CAGCTAACAGGTCCCATAGGTTTCCCAACACAAAGTTCTGTAGAGGCTCAAAATAGGTTCAACAAAGTTCTTTATTAAGGCTTAAATCTTCAAACAAATGAATTAAATGCTTTATAATCTTGAAAAACTAGTAGCTTTCTCGATCTGCCAACAAGGGACAGGCAACTGCTTGATAAACTGTTCCTATCTTCTTTAGGGAAACCTTCCGACCCTTCCTTGGGCAATCTTTCTTTACCCTGCTGGCATGAGGCCCCAACTCCTGGCTCCAAGCTGTGTTATGGATAGCCTGAGTGGTCCCTTACCAGGCAATGGTTGCTGTAGATCTGCCAAGCTGGTGTCCTATAGATTTGCCCCACGCAGGCCGTGGAACGATTCCTTTATTTTCCAGCAAAAGCTGGCTGTATTCCCCCAGCAAAGCTGTGGAACTGTAACTTTACTCCCTAGCAAAGCTGTAGAGGTTTTCCTCTAGAGTGGGGAAAACAAGTTTTTACTGTGTGATGGCAAATCAAAGTCCTAATGCACATAATTGAAGCCTCTCAGATAACCAGGGAAAAACCCTGCAACTCAATGCCGAGTTCTTCTAGCTAGCTCCAGGGTGGCCAAAAACAGACTGAAGGCCAAAATAGCCTCTCAGGTTCCCTAATGCATTCCTATGCCCTTCACCACACGTTTCTTTTTGGAAAGGGCTCTTCTAAAGGACACTGAGGTAATTTTGCTATGTTTCTTCCTCCCCACCTTCAAATATGTTTCAGCCCCAGATTGTCTTTTCTCAAAACTAGCACTTCGTTACAAGAAATATTCCATGTATATCTATAATACATTGGGGGTGGAAAGGTAGTACAAATGTCCCCATGCTCTTCAGAGCACATGGGGTGGGGAAATCAAATAAAAAATATGAAGAACTGGGGGAATTGTGCCTTGCTAGGTTTCAGTGAACTTGTTCACTGTGAACTAACTCAGCAATGATTTCTTCTGCTGCTATTTTTAGTTACCACCATGCTAATTGGTGGTGGTGATTTATTAAAGTCAAATGTGTCAGAGTTTTATATTGTTTGTGTCATTTCTTAAGTTAAAAATGGGTAAGTGATTGTAAGATTCATGTCCAATCATTGTATGGCCAGCAACAATCAAGCCACCTGTGGGAGTTGAGGTACTACTAATAGAGACTAAGTAAATTGTATTACTTGAGGTTGGAGGTTGGAGAGAGGTTGGCTGGAGGCTGGAAAGAGACTGGAAAGAAGCTGGAAAGAGTTTTGGAATTGCTGGAGGTGTATTATTGCTGCAACATCTGGAGAACAAGACTGTGAAGATAAAGACTTCATGTTTATAAGCTTTTGTGTGGATATTCCAAGGACTCTGCTTTATTTTTGAGTATCTTTATATAAATATTTCTTTGCTAGAAGACAGTTTGTTTTTCTGTTGGGTTTTTCTTCTTGGACGAAGGGGCGCAATTTCTGCAGAAGGGGTTGAATGTTTGGAACCCCAGTTTGATAGCAGCGACATGGGTTATGGGCCCAGTACCAGCAGCCCCGTCTAGGAGACTCTAAAGCCCAGAATTCCTAAAGACTGTCTAGTGTTGTGTTTGTTCAAAGAACATGTCTCAAAGCGGGAGTGGTAATTTGCCACTAGAGAGACTGAATTCTTCAAACTACTAGTCATGGGCAGTGAAATTAAAGTATTTTCTAATCAGAGMAAACTTATGGGGCATTGTGGAAAATCCTCCGGCAGCTGGGGCAAATGCAGCGGAACTTAGAAATGATGAAAAATGTAAAGCAAATATTATTTTCGCCGTGGAAGATAGTCAATTCACTTATCTGAGGAATGCTACAACAGCGAGAGAATGTTGGGAGCGTCTGCGAAGTGTGTACAAGTTGGAAACACCGGGGATTAAAATCATTTTGACAAGATGTCTTTATAATTTAAAGTTAAAAAGGGGAGACAGTATTTTTGAGCATTTGCAAAAGCTGAGAAATTTATTTGTAGAACTGGAAGACAGGCAAATGACTTTTACTGAGACCCACAAGGCATTTATTTTGTTATCATCGTTAGACAAAAGTTGGGATAATTTTGTAATTTAAACTTAATTATTAAGTCATTTATTTTTTGCTGTTGACTCAAAAATAAATCTTCTGAATTAATTATTTCAATACCTAGGTATTTTTTAAACAACCTAAGTCCTTCAACTTAAAATATTTTCCTAATTCCTTAAACACCATTTGAATTTGTTGTTCTGTATTCTCTAAATCTTCCCCATTCCATATGCTCTCAGTGATCTCCTAACCATTCGGTCCCTTAGAATGAACTTCAGTCCTGAGCACTCTGGCCTCTCAATAGGCAATTGCCACCTCAACAAAAAAAGGTCACTTAGCTTGCAACATTAAATGCGAGTCAAAAGTATGAACAGCATGAAATAGATTGGCTAAACTGAATGGATAGTCCCATTACGGAAAACTCATTACATCCACTGCTGAGTGGTAAGCGATTGCGTAAGTCATATAAATTTAATGGGTCTACTCTTGTCAGGATTATCAGCTTGACCTAGCCCAACAAATGCACACATGAAAGATTGGAAGTTATGCTAACAGTCAACTACTCATAAGAACATCCGAAAGAAAAGACACAACAGAATCCACTAAGGACAAAGGAAGGGTCATGTTTCAGAAGGCGTTTATCAGAAGGAGCTTTCTAACTTCTAAATGTAACAGCAATTTAGCACTGGAATTATCTGCCCTGGCAGATGCAGAGATTTTGCCAACTCCATTCATGAAGGAAGTTGGTCAAACATCTGTTACAGATGGGCTGGATATAACTGGACTACAACAGGAAACTTGTATCCTCTAGATCTTTGCTTCTTAAACTATGGGTCCTGATTCCAAATAAGGTCTCCTGAGCTCAATGTTGGGGTCCCAAAAATTTTCATAACAGTAAAAGATTTCCAAACGTCACCTAGTGGCTGTTTTGAATATTTACATGAACCTGTTGTGCAGTGTTTACAGTGGGTTCTGCAGAAGATGCCTCAGATGTACTTCATAAAAAGGAATGTCAACCTGTTTAGTAAGCCTTGCAAACACTGATTTGTTATCAGTAAATGTTTGATGGGAGCCCCTGGTGGTGCAGTGGGTTAAACTGCTGAGCTGCTGAACAGGTTCGAATCTGGGGAGCGGGGTGAGCGACCGCTGTTAATCCCAGCTTCTGTCAACCTAGCAGTCTGAAAACATGCAAATGTGAGTAGATCAATAGGTACCGCTCCATATAGTCATGCCAACCACATGACCTTGGAAGTGTCTACGGACAACGGCGGCTCTTCAGGTTAGAAATGGAGATGTGCACCACCCCCCAGAGTTGGACACGACTGGACTTAATGTCAAGGGGAAACCTTTACCTTTATGTTTGTTTTTCATACTTTTTATACACCTATATGCCTGGGGTCACATAAAAATTCTTAGGTCAAAAAGGGCCCTGCATGGAAAACTATAAGAAGCCTTGATCTAGATCAGGAGTCCTCAAACTTTTTAAACAGAGGGCCAGGTCACAGTCCCTCAAACTGTTGGAGGGCCGGATTATAATTTGAAAAAAAAAATGAATGAATTCCTATGCACACTGCACGTATCTTATTTGTAGTGCAAAAAACACTTTCAAACAATACAATAATTAAAATGAAGAACAATTTTAACAAAGATAAACTTATTAGTATTTCAATGGGAAGTGTGGACCTGCTTTTGGCTGATGAGATAGGATTGTTGTCGTCGTTGTGTGCTTTCAAGACTTAGGTTGACCCTGAGTGAGGGCCGGGTTATTGACCATGGAGGGCCGTATCCACCCCCTGGGTCGTAGTTTGAAGACCCCTGATCTAGATGATATTTGGTTGCAACTCTCATCCCTCATCTCATACTGAGTAGAATTCATAGAGTTGTGCTCCAACATTTGAAGGATCACATGTTTACCAGTCCCAGAGAAAGGGAACTCTTTTGGAGCTTTACAATATGCAGCCCATTTCTTTCACCTTCTGATAAATATTGCCATACTGTGTAAAATTTTTCCTATGGAGACTCAATAAGAGAGAATATAGCAAGTTATCATGCTCTACAGCTGTTCTCCAAGCACAATAGTCAGAGACAATCCAAAAGTCAACACAGTAGTCAGTCCAAACAGAATGTCAAAGCAAGAGAATGGTCCAGCTAATGGATCTTTGCAGCTGAATGGCATCAACCCTTAGCTGGAGTCAGGCAGGGCAAGTCAGTTCCCCCCTGAACAGCCTAATTCTGCCCTGACTCAGTTACTTCTATACCAGAAGGGCTTGGCTCCTACTCAGCAGCAGTGAGCTCCAAAGTGTCAGGTTGGTCAGGTGGCTGCTTACTGCTCAGCATTTGCACCAGATTCAGCTGGTGGGAGAAGATCCTCTTTCCCATCATCTTCATCCTGCTCCAGAATCCTGACACAAGTTGCCTTGTATTGAATCCAACCATCAGCATATTATTATAGGTTTTCAGAGTTTCAAGCAGATTTTTTCCTAACTCCACCTGGAGATTCCCAATAATCTCTTATCCCCCCCCCCCCCAACCAATCACTGATATATATTTTCTGTTCATCATGGGAATTCTGTGTGCCATATTTGGTTCAATTCCATCACTGGTGGAGTTCAGAATGCTCTTTGATTGTAGGTGAACTATACATCCCAGTAACTACAACTCGCATATGTCAAGGTCTATTTTCCCTCAAGAGCGCCTCAAGAGCTCCCCTGGGCAAAATCAACTATACTGCAAATGCTTACTTTGCATAATGGTTGAGCCGCCCCTGTCTGTATATGGAATTGGATAAGTTCAGAGAGGTATGCTGATAATCTACTTTTATATCTCTTTTGTGCTTTGCTCTATCCACCTGGCTCTTTCAGATTTCTCTCTAACTCATTTTCCTCATTCCCAGATGGTTTTTACTTCCTTATTTGTTCTCGTCACCTCTCCCCTCTCCCCTATTGTATGCACCCTTTATTTACTGAGTTTCTAACCATTGTTTTTACTTACTTCTCTGTATGTATATTTGGCCAGGAAGTAGTTCCCATTGGTGACAGTGTCTGCCAAAACAGAAGTCACAAGACTGGTGTTAAAATTAGGTCAGTAAACAAGAAAGAGAAATGGCTTCCTTCCATGACAAATGCATAACAAAAAGCCCATGGAGACACACATGTTTGCCCATTCAAAAATGCACCAAGCTCCTATATTTATGCATTAAATGTAAACAAGCATAGAAAGTTTGGGTCACTATCTGGAGTTTCTAATTTTTACTATCAATAAGACAAAATAATTTATTGTGCTCTTTCACACTATCAATATATGTTATTGTGACTTCACTTTAACTGCAGCATCTATGAAATCTTAGAGTTTTGGGGTTGATTGAGTTATTGTGTCAGGAGCAAACCAAACAGTTGTATTGCATTTTTAGCAAACAAATAAACAAAACACAAAGTTTGCAAGCTTGGTAGTTGATTAGATGTCCTTTGACCAGTAGCTGGCCACTTGGAGTTGCCTCTGGTGTTACTATAAGAAGGTGCATGTAGCAGGGCCCAGGTTGCATTGCAGCAGGTGGTCTGTAGTTTGCTCTTCTCTAAACTCACATGTTGTGGATTCCACTTTGCAGCCCCATTTCCTAAGATTGGCTCTGCATCTCGTGCCCTCCAAGTCGCCCAGTTTTCTGTGTGCTCGGGGGGGGGGGGAGTCTCTCATTTGGTATCAGCCATTGATTGAGGTTTTGGGTTTGAGCTTGCCACTTTTGGACTCTCGCTTGCTGAGGTATTCCAGCAAGTGTCTCTGTAGATCTTAGAAAACTATTTCTTGATTTAAGACGTTGACGTGCTGGCTGATACCCAAACAGGGGATGAGCTGGAGATGTCACTGACTTGGTCCTTTCACTATTGGCTGCTACTTCCCAGCGGATGTCAGTTGGTGCAATACTGGCTAAACAGTGTAATTTCTCCAGTGGTGTAGGGCGCAGACACCCCATGATAATGCGGCACGTCTTATTAAGAGCCACATCTGTTTTAGCGTGGTGAGATGTGTTCCATACTGGAAATGCTCAACAGTTTTGGGGTGCAGTGCCATCAATATGTGAATGACACTCAACTCTACTACTCTTTTCCACCTCACTTCAAAGAGGCTGTCTTGGTCCTAAACCAGTATCTTCTAATCACTAATTAACTGAATGAGAGCAAATAAATGGAAACTTACCCTATATACTCATGTATAGGTTGACCTCATGTATAAAGTGAGGGCAAGTTTGGAAATCATAGATTTTGATATGACTTGTTCATAAATTGAGGGCCATCCAGCAGAGAGGGAAAAGCACCAGTCCTGACTCTGCCATTTGCTGTTTCCAACTGCCACAGCTGTTTCTCAACCCAGGCATTCAAAAGGTCAGAAGTGGTGTGATAATGCAGAGATTAGAAGGAGTTGGTCCTTCTTTAAGGTTCTCCCCTTTCACCACTCACAGAAGGAGATGGTTCTTTTTTTATATAAGACTTATATTGGCCTGTGAATAAGTTAACCCAGATTTTTGGGTTGAAGATATGATTAAAATTTCTAGACTTATACGTGAGTATATACGACCATCTAGACAAGACAGGGATATTCCTAGTCAGCTGAGGGAATAGAGATTCAGCCTGTGTTAGATAGGGTTACCCCCTCCTTGAAGATGCAGATTCACAGTTAGGATTTACTCTGGGACTCAGCTTTGAAACTGGAGACTTGGGCTTCTATGGTGTCTAGGAGCATTTTGCACATTTTAAGCTTGTGTTCCAATTGCACCCATTCTTTGAGACGCCAGATCTGACCACAGTGGTATATGCCTTTAGTAACATCCTATTTGGAGTTCTGCGACATGCTCTGTATGGGGCTCACTTTGAAGCGTGTATGAAAACTTCAGCTAATTTAAAATCCATAGCCATGGAGCCAACTGGATATCACACAATGCCCTTGTTTAAACAGCTGCATTGGCTCCAATTATTTCCAGGCACAATTCAATATGCTGGTTATGACCCATAAAGTCATATTATGGCTCAGCTCCAGGCTATCTAGCTGACTGTAAGGGTCCATCCAGACAGGCACATATCCCGGGACCTGTCTGGGTTTTTACTGGAGGCGTCAAACAATGCCTCCAGTAAAAACAACATAATCCTGAACAAACCAGGGTTTCCCTGGTTTGTTCCAAATTAATTCAGTACCTGATAAGATCTGGATCTTAAGATCTGGGTCTTACCAGGTGTGGGCCCTGTGGGGATTGGACCCAGTGATTTCCGGGACCAATCCACACAGACTAAGAGAGTACCCACCCCTTCCCCAAACCCCAATGTAAACTTTGCTAGGAAAGATTCATGCTTAAGTGCCTTTGTTTCATGGTTTTGATTGTTGGATTCTATGATTTTATATTCATGCCTTGGATTCATGTTTCCTGGTTTCTTGGATTTTATTAGAGAAGTTTTTGCCTTTGTTTTTCATGGACTTTGATGGACTATTACCCTGGACTACTTTGTTTTGGCTTATCTTCCTACCTAATTGGATTTACCTATTTCTTTAAAGTGCTTTTTACTTTACTGCTTTTTAATTATCTTCAATAAAGGGATTGTTTCCCTACTCAAATGCGTGGTGTTTAAAGTCAGAGGGTCTGGAGTGCAACACTTCCAAACCAAGTTAGACTCTGCTCATACATCAAAGTTGTGTCTCCCATTCCGCTAAAGAACTTCGGAACACTCACCAACAGATTCACCATCATCCCAGAAGAGAGAGCCAGAGGCTTCACCCTGTTCATTCAGAGCAACAATGAGTCCAAATGGATTCAGGCGGCTATTGAAAAAAAAAAACATGATTAAAAATAATTGAAATGTGTCATTAAGAGGTTTCTTTTATGCAAATCTGACAAACTATGTCATCTCTAGGCATTTTCTTGGTCCTCTAGGGTAATTCTATAGCAGTGATTCCCTACCCTTGGGCCTCCAGGTGTTTTGGACTTCAACTCCCAGAAATTTCAGTCAGTTTACCAGCTGTTAGGAACTGTGGGAGCTGAAGTCCAAAACACCTGGAGGCCCAAAGATTGGGAACCACTGCTCTATATATTATTGAGCCAGAAGTCCTTCATTTCAATAGGGTCTGCTATTATCTGCAGTTTTGCAAATCCATACAATATTCAGGAACACATCCTTTGCAGATATGGAGGTTGTACTATATATAAAATGGGATGTTGATCACATTGCTATAGCAAAAATGTAATCTGGAAACACTTCACAATCACTAAGAAGTCTCTAAAGGCCACTGCTGTCTAAGCCACCATTTAGCATATATTTATCAATATTCTATTACAAGAAAAGCAATTCCAATTAAATATTAGGAAAAACTCAAATCGTTATAACATTAGACTCCATTGGAGGTATTTATGCAGAGGTTAGATAACCAGCTCTCAAAAATAGAGTTAACTCTATAATCCTATTTTAATAATATCAATTTTGTGAAATGGGTTGCTTTACATTATAACAATTACTAGATTTATAGAGATTTGTTAGAGGTATAATCTGATATTACAAATTAGTTGGTGCAGATATGAAGATATTATGGTGTAATATGCCTCCACAAACCACAAAAAAGAAGATGGGGCAGATAACAACCACTTTGCAAATTAAGCTTTATTGAAATGAATGCAGGCAAATTTGGAGCACATTCTCCTGAAGTAAATTGAAGAATGCTAGAAAAAGTTGTTAAAGGGAATTACATAAAATCACACAATTGGAATAAACCTTGAAGTTTTTCTACTTCCATCCGGGGCAATGCAGGAAACTCATTATTACAACATTACAAACAATCTCTCTCATCTACTCTGCTAAAAAAAAGTAGATGGCTCTCCACCATCATCTAAATGTTTCAGTGTTGAGCTTACCTATTCTGGAAAAACTGATTCTCAACATCTATATAAATAAAAATGCAATGTTCGTTTGTGAGATTAACATAACTCAACAAACCATTGGATGAACTGACACCAAATTTGGCAGCAAAACACATACTAATCCAATCTATTTCATTCAAACAAAAAAAACCCCTTAAAAATGAAGGGGAAATAGTATAAAACTCCCCCAAAGAAAAATACCTTACAGAGCATGCGCAAAAGCTCCCTTCCCCAACACACGAGAAGAATGACACACCAACCGTTGTGAGGGAAGAGAAGTCTAGCCATGGAGTCCCTTTCCATTCACGAAGGCAGAGTCGTCTTTCTTTTGGGGAGGGATTGAGGAAAGGAAAGAGGGCGTGGAGGCTTGGTGAGGCAAGCCCCGGCAGCAGCTGGAGCCCAAGTGGCCACCAGGCAACCCTCCCACCAAGACCGGAGGATCGCAAGGCAAGCCTGGCTGCACGAGCGGCTGCACACCTCCTTTCCTTCCTCCCCACCCCAGACCCGTTGGGAGAAGGGAGGGTGCGAACCATGGGAAGACCAGCAACTCTCCCACTTGGGTTCCACATCCCCCCTTCTGGTACAAGGTACAACGCCTGCACAAAAATGACTCCCTTGGCTCTGCCCTCCCTCCTGCGCCAGGGAAAAGAAACAAACAGCTGCAAGGAGCATGGAAGGCTCTGATGGGCTGGACAGGCACACCCTCGGCTTCCCCAGGCCCCAAACTGGGGTCTCCCCCTCTTTTTCCCACCTGCCACCTCCGAGGGGCCCCTTCCTTCTTCTTCCTTCCTTCCTTCCTTCCTTCCTTCCTTCCTTCCTTCCTTCCTTCCTTCCCTTCTTCCTTCCTTCCTTCCTTCCGGCCCACCCTCTTCCACCATGCAAGGGCTTTGCATGGGCCCTCCTTACCTCCCTCTCAGTCTCCATCCTCTCTTTCTCAGCCCCACCAACAGGGACCTCTTATCCTTCTTTTCCCCTTGGTTTGTTTGTTTGTTGTTGTTGTTGTTGTTTTTGTCGTGTCAGGAGTGACTTGAGAAACTGCAAGTCACTTCTGGTGTGAGAGAATTGGCCGTCTGCAAGGATGTTGCCCAGGGGACGCCCGGATGATTTGATGTTTTTATCATCCTTGTGGGAGGCTTCTCTCATGTCCCCGCATGAGGAGCTGGAGCTGATAGAGGGAGCTCATCTGATCCGCCTCTCCCCAGATTCGAACCTGCGACCTGTCAGTCTTCAGTCCTGCCGACACAGGGGTTTAACCCACTGCACCACCGGGGGCTCCTTCCCCCTGGTGAGGCGGGTGGGCTTTGCCTTCCCTTGCCTGGGTGCAAGAAAGCTGTGGCAGGAAGAAGAAGGGGCCGGCACTGGGTGAGTAAGGCCTGCCTCAAAAAGCACCTATTTATTTATTTATTTATTTATTTGGGGTGCTTCTACCCCGCCCTTCTCAACCCCCTAGGGGGGACTCAGGGCGGCTTACAAAAGGCACAATTCGATGCCCGACAATTCACAAAATACAATATACAAAATTACAATATAACGTCAACAATTATAACTAATTAAAACAATCAAACAATACAGTCGCAGCAATAAAATCATATTGTGGTCAATGTTCGCCAATTCATAAATCCATGATCTGTCTAGCATCATCATTGTCCTTTCCTACTCTGGTCATCATTGTCTTTTGTCCAACTGCCAGCTTACCCAAAGGCCTGGTCCCACATCCAGGTTTTTAACTTCCTTCTGAAGGAGAGGAGGGATGTTGATGACCTAATATCCCTGGGGAGTGCATTCCACAGCCGAGGGGCCACCACTGAGAAGGCCCTGTCCCTTGTCCCCACCTAGGCCCAGCAAGGCTGAGGGCTGCAAGGCTCCCTTTCCACCGGTGCCCAGGCAAGAGGTAGAGAAGAAAGATAGGAGAGAAGGATAGAAAAAAAGGGAAGATAGTAAGCAAAGAGGGAGGGAAGAAAGAAGAGGAAGAAAGAGGGAGGGAAAGAAGGAAGGAAAGAGAGAAGGAAGGATGGAAGCAAAGAACGAAGGAAGGAAAGAGGTAGAGAAGGAAGAAAGGAGAGAGAAAAGAAAGGAAATAACAAGGGGGGAAGGAAAGAGGTAGAGAAGGAGAGAAGGAAAGAAAAAAAAGATAAGGAAGGAAGGAAAGAGGGAGGGAAGGCTGGCCACAGGAATGCGTGGCGGGTACAGCTAGTAATAAATATAGAAGCTGTCTCCCCAAAAGTGAGTGTTAGAGATCATGAGAAACCCCACAAAGCAGGTCTTGATTAAGACAAGGAGCAAGTGGGCTACAACATCACAGACTTACCACTGTTTTAGATCTACTTCTGAAATATCACAAATGCATTTATTTCTGCTACATCATGGCGGAAAGAGCAATTTATCTAGTTCATTAGGGAAACAATCCAGCCTTGTCACACAGATGGGTGGGGAAAATGAAAAAAAAATTAAATCTGCCACAGTGATTTATTAAGTAATTGATGCCTGATGCAAAACACAGACAATTTTCCAGGAGGTAATCATTTCAGCCCGGTCTTAAATTCGATCATGTTCTAAAAGTAGAGGAGTGTTTTGGTTACCTTTTAGCAGTTCTTGTGGCTGGTGTCTGTGTCGGCAAAATGTATCCTCCTCGGATAAACAGCGGTATCTTTTCCAGTGGGGCATGAACACTGATATATTTGTTGTGCGATGAAGCTGGTACTTTGTCACCCTACCAAAAAATTGGATATAGCTGAAGCACTCTTTTCAAAGCAATCTGGTCAATGGCTCTGGCTATTTAAAGCAAACATCTATCTCACAAGTGGCAGTTAAATAGGCTTTCCTCCCTCATGCATGTGTCATTTAAATGGAAACCTGCATCAAACTGAAGCAGCAGTTTTCAAACCCTATTTGTGGATACTTCTATTCCTTGGAAACCTATTAGGGAATTCGGAAGGGATGTTTTTGTAATAGTGGAAATGGGCCTTGAAAGCCAGCTTTCTCACCCCTAATGCTATTTCCTTGCCATGTTGATAGGAGGCATTGGATGTGACAGTGGCTAAATTCTCAAAACATGTGTAGTAGGGTGGAGAGATGATGATTTATGATGACCTCATAAATTTCATAGGGTTTTATTATGCAAAGAATACTCATAGGTGGTTTTGCCAGTTCCTTCCTCTGAAATATAGTCTTCCATCTAAGCCAGCATTTCTCAACCTGGGAGTTGGGACCCCTGGGGGGGTCGCGAGGAGATGTCAGAGGGGTCACCAAAGACCATCAGAAAACACAGTATTTTCTGTTGGTCACAAGGATTCCATGTGGGAAGTTTGGCCCAATTCTATTGTTGATGGGGTTCAGAATGCTCTTTGATTATAGGTGAACTATAAATCCCAGCAACTACAACTCCTAAATGTCAAGGTCTATTTCCCCCCAAACTCCACCAGCATTCACATTTGGGCACATTGAGTATCCGTGCCAAGATGGTTCAGAGTCCACAGTGCTCTCTGGATGTAGGTGAACTACAACTCCAAAACTCAAGGTCAATGCCCACCAAACCCTTCCAGTATTTTCTGTTGGTCATGGGAGTTCTGTGTGCCAAGTTTGGTTCAATTCCATCATTGGTGGAGTTCAGAATGCTCTTTGATTGTAGGTTAACTATAAATCCCAGTAACTACAACTCCCAAATGACAAAATCACCCCCCCCCCCCCAACCCCACCAGTATTCAAATTTGGGCATATCGCGTATTTGTATCAAATACATCCTGCATATCAGATATTTATATGATGATTCATAACAGTAGCAAAATTACAGTTGTGAAGTAGCAATGAAAATAATTTTATGGTTGGGGGTTACCACAACATGAAGAACTGCATTAAGGGGTCATGGCATTAGGAAGGTTGAGAAACACTAATCTAAGTCTTAGCCAGCTTTCAAGATCAGATAGGATCTGGTGTTTTAGTGCCTTTAGATCCCATACAGTGGGCTGTACCTGCTTAATTTTCCACCACATTGGGCTACATTTCCCATCATCCCTCACCATTAATGGAGTGATGGGAATAGTATTGCATTGGGAAGATCACAACAGTATTTATTTTTCTTTTGTGTGCTTTTTGCAACACAAAGGAGCATTCCTGCCAATTACTTGTGAAAAAACAGATTAATCATTCAATTTGCAGCACCATTTTCTCAAACAGAAAGCAGCTTTAGGTGTACAAATTGGATGTGGAACTTTTAGTTGTATTGTCATTTTTTTTTTAAAAAAAAGAATGAATTAACTTGGGGAAATGCACAGAAACATCCTGCACAGCATCATCTTTCTGTGTGGCAGTGATATATTTACCAAAACATTGATATTATTGTAAAACTACATTGCCACTTGGATTACCTCATAACAGAGCACAATATGTTCAACTTTTAAAATATCCAACAAGCGGGGCAAAGATGGGGAAAATATAAGGTTAAAACACATAGTTTATCTGAGTTTCATAGATACTAATGGTTTTAGCTGAACATAAAACAATGATGGGCACTATAATAAAAACTGGACAGTGAATTGCTTCAGTGAAAGACATTTAGTATTAATTCAAAAATGTTTTAAATGTTGCCTGAATAGAGAGCAGGCAGACTCCACACAAAATATTGGATGATTTTTTAAAATGTATTTTTGGAAATACATACCGTGTAGTAATCAAACCAGGTTGCGTCTGGGAAGTATACATCCACTGATCTTGCTCCCTGTAACCATCACAACAAAGTTGAAATTACTTTATACGTTTATGACACATCATAGATAATGTCTTTTGTTTTGCTAAAAAACTAAAAACAGTACAATAAATGCAGACTGTGCAAGGAAGCTGATGAAACCATTGATCATATGCTCAGCTGCTGCAAGAAAATCACAGACAGACTACAAACAGAGGCACAACTCTGTGGCCCAAATGATTCATTGGAACTTATGTCACAAGTACCACCTGCCAGTAGTAAAGAACTGGTGGGATCATAAACCTGCAAAGGTAGTGGAAAATGAACACGCAAAAATACTGTGGGACTTTCAAATCAAGACCAACAAAGTTTTGGAACACAATACACCAGACATCATGATTGTGGAAAAGAAAAAAGTCTGGATTATTGATGTTGCCATACTACGTGACAGTCACATTGAGGAAAAACAACAGGAAAAACTCAGCATTATCAGGACCTTCAAATGAACTGCAAAGGCTTTGGCATAAAGCAGTAAAGGTGGTCCCAGTAGTAATTGGCACAATGGGTGCTGTGCCAAAAGATCTCAGCCAGCATTTGGAAACAATAAACATTGACAAAATCATGATCTGTCAACTGCAAAAGGCCACCTTACTTGGATCTGCGCATCATTCGAAAATACATCACACAGTCCTAGACACTTGGGAAGTGTTCGACTTGTGATTTTGTGATACGAAATCCAGCATAGAGATCTCGTTTGCTGTGACATACTGTGCTTTTGTGTCAGTAAAATAATCATAATCATAATTTGTATTTGTTACCCTAGTTAAAACAGTAGTACACATGCTTGCTTCAACCACCAGATAGTATCCTACATTCATTCTGTGGTCTTTTCTGGTATGTACAGAAACAGACGTTTGGGAGATAAGAGGGACTGCATAGAAAAAAATTCATACAAAGGTGTGGAAAAAAAATCTGCATCACTTGAAAAACACCATCCAGATAAGACAGACTATTCTGAAGCATTTAATATAGTCTTTACCGGGTGCTTTAATGACTATTTTTAGTTCTTTTACCTCTTGTATTTTGCTGGTGTTTTACCTTGGTTTCATTAAATGTTTAAAAGCTTGGTCAACCACTTGCCATTTTTTGAGTTACAGTCCTTAGAATCTGGGCAAATATTATCTCTACAACAACAATGACTACTACTAATAATAATCATCATCATCATCAGCCTCTTTTCACAGCTTGGAGTGGGTACAATACAGTTAAATTTAACAGCATTTCTTTAAAAACTTCACGATACTTGTGACTGTAGCTTTACTTAAGCAATCTATGCTATGACCCAACACCTGATCTTGTACTGGCTTTGTGGGAATGACAGGGAGTGCTATTCCATAGGCTTGGGCAATCCATGGTTGTAAATGGTTCTAAAGTACTTACAAAACTAAAGTTCTGGTGGTGAAAATTTCAGAATTCTAACAAAACTTTCAAAATTTAGTTATTATTTCATTATTGGTGATTTTAATGACAGAACCAATTAGGAACTGCCATTTATTATGAAATTTTGAGAGTTTTGTTCTGAGTTTTGTTCTGAGTTCTGAAATTTTCACCACCAGAACTTTAGTTTTGTAAGTACTTTAGAACCATTTAGAACCATGGATTGCCCAAGCCTACGTATTCCAAACATAGTAGTTTCCCAGTGCTATTTTGTAGTCACAAACATGGGGGAAAGTGACTTGCCTTTTTTATACTACACTTCCAGATTATAAAAATTAGGGACTGTAGTACCATAGTAAACCAATGTCCTATGATACTAATTGGGTTTCACCTGCGACTTTGGCCTGACTCCTCAAAACGGTGTGCGGCTCACCACTGACTTGGGCTCAGATTGCCATTCCAACTTTCCTGCTATGACAATTAGATATTCTATTTTAAACAGGGCAGATTGTAAGCCCATCTTTTTTTTCTGTTGTGTAACTGGCAGAGAGGGGAGTTTAAATGCATTGCATCAGCACATTCATTTCATTTCGGTGTTCTGTACATCTTGTGGTGCCCTTAAAGTAATAGATTGGTACACAAAGAATAAATGATGCATGAATGCGTATTCATTGCGGTTCAATCTTTCCTTTGGTATCTTCCTGTTGGCTACAATCCTTTGATTGATTGATTGATTTTACCACAGAAAACTTCTCAACCTGCTTTGTTATTCTCTGTGTTTTCCCTTTTTAAAAATCTCCTCTTGCTAAACCCTATCTGATTACTATAAACAGAAATGTACAGCTCCAGAAGGAGGTAAAAGGCACAGGGAAAATTGCAAACCTCTCAATGAGAGCTGGGTATTCATTGCTTTTCCTTTCCCCAGAGCCAAACCCTTTTGAAAAACAAGATCAATTTATCATTGACTAACTCAAGGACTCAATCTTTTTTTTTCAAAATTGGCCCTGAGCATGCATCTGCTCCTGTACTCACTTAAGATCTGTGAACTATATGTCCTCCATTCCCAATATTGCAATGTACTTTACTATTTCATTACTTACCTCTTGAAGAACTGGAGCAATCATAAGAGCAGATCCCCAAAGAAAAGCAGTATCTATTCCATGGGTCTCGGGGTCATCTGTAAACCTAATGTTCAAAGTTGTATAGTTTGTTTAATATGGAGAAATTCATAATTTCATCTCAACCTGGACATTCTTTTTTATACAAGGATCCTATTTTCATATTTTACTACAGGCCTATCAAAGTAACAACATGTTACTTTGATAGGCATGGGACACCCTTTTTTGGTATTAGAGGAAAATATTCCCCATGAATTGGGATGTCAATAGGGAGGAAGTCATAGGGAGGAGGGAGCAAGCTTGCTGCCCTGGAGACTAGGACGTGGAATAATGGTGTCACAAAAATTTAATGTGCAGGTTTTATAAATGTGGATTTAATATGATGTGTGGAATGAATGGAAGGATGTATGGAGGTAATAATTTTGGAAACACCAGTAAAAGACCCAGGCCTGCAATGACTAACTACCTGCTTGCTGGACTGTAATTAAAAGTTGCTAATAAGATCTGAAAAGTAAACTCTGATAAGAATTGGGACAGTGATAACAGAAATGTTTACAATGTTAATAAGGAAGTCAACATAAGATCATTGCCAATCAAGAAGAATCAACATCTGGCCAGGAAACTGACATGGATCCAGGATGGAAGATGTCTATCATTAATTTACAACTTTGGGACTACATCAGCAGAATATTCCTATAAAAGACTCAGTCTAATAATGCTCAAAGTGTGGCAGACCTGAGGAGTCTGTTCCACCCACTATGCTCTGCTCATGGGAAGGAGAGAGATAGTGTACGTATGGAGAGTGGAAGATTTGCAAGGGAGCAGTCTGGTCACTTTGGGGCTTCTTTCTCAAGGGAAGAGGAAGAAGTGCACTTTTGGAGTCTTAGACCTGTCGCAAACTAGGTTCCTGCGGGAGAAAACCTTGCTAGCATGTCCCTGACGTCACGAGACTCCGCCTCTCGCCCCGCCCCTTTCTCCGCCCCTTTCTCCGTGCGAGAGTGGTTTTTCCTTTGCTAGGGCAGCATTGCCAGCGTACTCTCTCAGTTGGCAGAATTCAACTGAGAGAAAATGCGGGCAATGCTGCCCTAGCAAAGGAAAAACCACGCTGGCAAAGAGAAAGGGGCGGAGAAAGGGGCGGGGAGAGAGGCGCAGGCTCATGACGTCAGGGACGTGCTAGCAAGTTTTCTCCTGCAGGAACCTCTTAGATTTTGTGCAGAGAGTCAAGTTGTGTTGTATGGAAAACAGAGATCTGGTCCTTGGCATTGTTCTTAGGGAAAGAAGTTTTGGCATTTCGGTGTTTCGAAGTTTTGGCATTATGGAAATATGCTTTGGAAGGGCTGCAGGAAAGCAAGGTCTGGCCTAACAGGTGCTTCTCCAAGAAGGGAGAAAATGATATGGTAATATTTGAATGCCTGAGGATGAATGTGTCTACATGTGGTGTGAATGTTGAGTGAAAATGTAATTCCCCTTTGTTTTACAGCCATGTAACTGTAAATCCAATGTAGTTGCAAAGAATCTGTGTGTCTGTATGTCCAATGTCATTCTTTGTCTAAATTTTTTCCCCTGTAATCTGATATACCCTCTCACACCGGAAATTGCAATAAAAAGAACCTATAAAGTCATTGAAAAGTCATTCATGACAATGGCTTCAAACTACAAGAAAGGAGATTCCATCTGAACATTATGAAGAACTTCCTGACTGTGAGAGCTGTTCAGCAGTTGAACTATCTGCCCCAGAGTGTGGTGGAGTCTTCTTCTTTGAAGGCTTTTAAGCAGAGGCTGGATGGCCATCTGTCGGGGGTTCTTTGCAATTTTCCTGCTTTTTGGCAGGGGGTTGGACTGGATGGCCCATGAGGTCTCTTCCAACTCTATGATTCTATGATCTTCATGTTATGAATACAACACTCAAGCACCCTGGAGGATAAAAGTGTTCTGGTACAGCTGTACCAGGAGCTCCAATTTTATTTGCTTTGTATTAAATGTTTGTTTGCAGTCCTAGGTTTCAGGGACTCTGCAGATAGGTGGCTTCTTTTGGTTGCAGTTATAGGGCAAGCCACCTGTCCAACATCATTAAGTTTTGGTCCCGCCCCTTGCTCAGGGCAATTGGGAAGGGAAGGGAGCCATTTTTAGTTAGTCTCAGCAAGGAAAGCTAATGTATAGGACGTGTGCAAGCTTCCCCTGTACAAAAGCTTCAACCTTTAAGAACTTCCAGGAAAACAGCCCTAAAGACCAAAGAACTCCAGCTGGAGAACATCTAAGCCTTTACTGGTAGGTCCACTCGGCGTTCGAGAAGCAGTTCGACCCGGTAGCGGAGCCCACATCAGTAAGGGTTAGATTACAGTCAGTCTGGGAGAAGTTAAAAAGGGGATTTTCCTTTAAAGAAGAAGTTATTGAAGACAGTTGCCTGTCCTTCGTGGGTTTGTTGTTGTTCATTCGTTCAGTCGTCTCCAACTCTTCGTGACCTCATGGACCAGCCCACGCCAGAGCTCCCTGTCGGCCGTCACCACCCCCAGCTCCTTCAAGGTCAGTCCAGTCACTTCAAGGATGCCATCCATCCATCTTGCCTTTGGTCGGCCCCTCTTCCTTTTACCTTCCACTTTCCCCAGCATAATTGTCTTCTCTAGGCTTTGCTGTCTCCTCATGATGTGGCCAAAGTACTTCAACTTTGTCTCTAGTATCCTTCCCTCCAATGAGCAGTTGGGCTTGATTTCCTGGAGGATGGACTGGTTGGATCTTCTCGCAGTCCAAGGCACTCTCAGAACTTTCCTCCAACACCACAGTTCAAAAGCATCTATCTTCCTTCGCTCAGCCTTCCCTAAGGTCCAGCACTCACATCCGTAGGTTACTACAGGGAATACCATGGCTTTGACTAGGCGGATCTTCGTGGGTAAGATTAGGAATTCACCAGTTGCCTAAAAGCTTGGAATTATTTGCTTAACTTTACTGAAAACAAGAGAAGTTACTGTTTGATTGTTCATTAATAAAATACTTTGCTGTACTTCTCAAACCATCTAAAGACTGTTTGTGGTGGAAACCTCTGAGAACTTCTCTTTAGGCCCCCTGACTTCCCGTTGGGCAAAGGTTGCACGTCCTGTTTTAAAGACAACTATTTACAGGCCCAACGCACAACAGAACACTCTGTGATATAAAACATTTGTCAAATGCACTTTTCAAGGCTCCCCTGGGCATCCTTTCTTGCTTAAACTGTTAGATGGGCTCCCTTCCCTTGCTATGTCAAGAATAATTCACAATTCACTGAAGTGTGTTTGCATTTTCTTGCGGCATACTGTTAATCTTGGAAATCCACATAAACATCCAAAGACATTTTGAACCTCGCAGCCAGCTCTATTGGCACACTTGAGTCTAGTTTGCTGGAACCTTTAGTGCTCAGTTAGTCATACTCTTCTCATATGGCAAAATTATATCAATGCTAGTCCACATATTTTAGAGTCAGCTTCCTTTTTCTTTTTTAGCCTGTTGTTTAAGCATTCATCCACTCTCTTCTGGATTGACACCTGCTCACTTTAAAATATTGTCCTGCATATGATGAACACTTACATGAAAAATAACAGTAGAGCTATAAAGCACTTCCGAAGACTACTGATAAATATTAATAAACTCTCATGCATTATTCACTAAGTACCATCTTAAAATTCTTTTCAGTACAAGTCACTATTTGACCTTTTTCAACCAAGAACTTTAATTTAAGACAACTATTAATAGTTTCTAAACATCATGGGGAAGCAAATACTTTTTTCCAATGTATTAATGAGGATTTTTTGGAAAGAAAATAATTTTAAGCTCATTTCCTAGATTAATTTTCAATATGAATATTTTATTTGCCTATTCATGCCATATTTTATCACTTATTATTTCAAAATCTCTTTATCCCCTCTAGATCGAGAATATATTTCAAGTTCAATTGGTGGAATCTCCTTGGCAGGCTGGAGAATTGAAAACCCTGCCTGAAATCCTGGAGAGGGGTTGTCCCGGAATCACTGGGTTGTTGTAGTTTTTTCGGGCTATATGGCCATGTTCTAGAGGCATTCTCTCCTGACGTTTCGCCTGCCTCTATGGCAAGCATCCTCAGAGGACTCTGAGGATGCTTGCCATAGATGCAGGCGAAACGTCAGAAGAGAATGCCTCTAGACCATGGCCATATAGCCCGAAAAAACCTACAACAACCCAATATTAATAATACTGGATAATTGGATCAACAGTCTGACTTGAGAGGCTATAACATTGGGCATTTCCCCTTTATTATTATTATTATTATTATTATTATTAATTATTATTTATACCCTGCCATCATCTCCCCAAGGGGACTCGGGGTGGCTTACATGAGGCCAAGCTCAACAATACAGCAATGCAGATATGCAACATAAGAATACAGCAAATAATAATTTGAATTAAAATAAAAATAAAATTAAAATAATACACCACAATTAAAAACAAGAACATAAAAACAATAAAGGAAAGATCAACACAGTGGGATATGACATCATGTATGAAATGAAATAACAGTTACGGACAAGGAATAAATCAGAATGGGCGAGGCCAGAATAACAAACAGGGGGCATAGGGTGGGATAGGAAACTGGAGAGAATGATCTGGTGATGGGAGGTACAGGAGGGACAGCTAAGGGGCATAATTGCCCACTAGGAATAAGGAGAAGTGCATCAAGAGGACGAGTATATGCTGGGGTGGACATGGTATGGGGATTGCTGTTTATTTATCAAAAGCAAGGCAGAACAGCCAGGTTTTCAAGAGCATGCCTAATCGCTCCAGGTAATGAGTTCCAAAGCTGGGGGGCCACCACCAAAAAGGCCCTCTCCCTCATCCCCATGAGCCACGCTTGCGACTGAGTTGGGAGCAAGAGGAGGGCCTCCCCGGAAGATCGAAGGGGACATGAAGGTTGCTTGTTCAGGCCCTGAGATTTATGGGTCAGAACCTTAGCTCCCGGTTATGTCATTAAGGACCTCATCACATGAAGTTGCCTAACGTGGGTGACACTGTGGGGATTCACCAGGCAAGGTAGTGAATCCAGCAAGCAGCAGGGGAATCCAT